AGGGTTGCACCATTTTCCAGAAATGTGGTCGTGGGGGGGACACGTGGACACCAGGATCGTCCCATGTGGGGTCAGCCAGTGGGTTTGTGCGAGTCTGTGCTCGTGTGCCAAAGATTTTTCTCATTTTCATGGATTTAATGGATGCTGCAGACCTGTGCAGATCTGATCTGCCAAGTCTTGCCTAAGCGTAGCTTACCTGCCGTGTGTTTTGGGTGGCACACAGCGATACCTGAGGAAGGGGGGGGCAAATCTTTTGAGCATGCTTGAAATGAGGGAGAAATTTGGGTCGGCTGAAAAATCAACGCTCCCACGTGCTCAGCACCTCTCCGCGATGCTTGGTTTTGGTTCGCTGAGCGCGTCGCACCTCGAACCCGTGCAGCTTGCTGCTGAGATGCTAAATGAATTCAATCAGAATAAAAGAAAGCTCAACTTTCTAAGTGTTGTGCTTTGAGATAGTCTGAGTTTGCTTGCGGGTGCTTTGGTTTTCCTTTTATGCTTCTGAATGGTTAACCTGGATTTTCTGAAGTCCTTTCCTAAATGCAGAGTGGTCTCCCTGCTTGTCTCTGAACCTGGTCCTTGGGAGGACGAACCTCCTCCTCCTCCTTGGGAGGACCAGGCTCCTACAAAGCAGAGCATCGTTCCTCCGTGAGAGCCAGCCGGTACCTGGCTGGGGACATCTCTCTTGGGAAAGTCTTCTCATCCTCTGTCCCCTCATGGCATCTCGAAAGGATTGAGAATCTGTAGGTGTTTATGGAGGAGCTCAGGTGGGTCTCCTCAGAGCTAATGATTTAGCCTGGTCAGGGCGTGGGTGCTGGAGCTCAGTGACCTGCTTATGGCCTTTTGCAGTTGATGGAGCTTTCTGAGCACCCACCTCCCTTTCTCCTGTTCCACAGCCTATCCCTACACCCACCATTATTTTACTCTATAGCTTGAGACCTCAGTTGTTCTTCAAAGGCGAAGCGTAACCATGGTGGCTCAGCGGAGATGTGTTAAAAATAAGTATTTACCAGTTCTCTGTTTCCTTAATGGCTGAAACTCATAACTTTTCATGCTTCTGTTCAGAGATGTGAACATCTCAAGGGATTTCAGTAGTTTCTTCCTATGCAATAGCCTCAGCCATGGCTTCCTCCCTGTAGACCAAACCTCTGCTTAATCACCACGAATCAGGGAGAAGGCGATCATCGATAAGCACGTTCCCCCTGGTACAAGCAGGTGCAGGATGCTTGAGGTTATTCCCCACTACCCAGCCCTGAGGAGCAATCCTGTCCCTGTAAACACAACTGGCTTCTTCAATCCTTGCCATGCTGTTCCCATCTCCTCAGTCGCCGCCAGGGTGTGCCACGTGACGCTGGAAGTGGGGCTGAAGAGCATCAACGTGCTCGAGACGCTGTTGTCACGACTCCCTGGTAGCCAAGGCTGAACCTTGAACAATAAACCTCTGCTGTTGGAAAGGGATTTTGAAATCCCTCTCTTGGAATATATATATAGCTGCTGGTTGGGTTGTAGACTGGAGTCTTGACTTGTCGTCAGCGCTGTTTTGACCTATCAAGAAGGTTACTTTGGGCAATCTGTGTAGGATGTGGAATGAAATTTGGCGTGTTGCCTTGCCCGCATTAGGATGAGATAATGAAAGATGTTTAGAGCTCTAAAGACCCTGAGGTTCTCCTGAATTTGAGGTGCTCCCAGGCACTCTGCACCTGAGCAAGCTCTAATCCTGCCAGTAGCAATGAGCAACCCTAGAAGGTGATTCCCTTTCAAAACAGTGGTTGCAAGCTCAAACTCTACATGAAGGTCCCATAACAGATGGGAGACATTAAAGAGACTGGACTGGTGAGAGTCTAAAGAAGTTCCCTCCTGCATTTTGTGCTCTCTGGCTTTAATAAGTCTCCCTTCTCTCTTGCAGGGGAAGGTGGCGCAGACGGCTTGCATGTCGGCGTGCAAGCACCTCTCCACCTCGCTGATGCAGCTGCTGCTGGAAGCCGAAGTGCGGCAGCTGACGCTGGGCGCCTTGCAGCAGTTCAACCTGGACGTGGAGGAGTGTGAACGTAAGATGCAAAATCAACTCTTTGCCAGGTTTCACTTGGCCTCTTAGTGTGTCGGGACCCCAGCGGGGGCTTTTAGTGGTCATGGAATCACAGAATTGTTTGGGTTGGAAGAGACCTTAATGATCATCTCATCCCACCCCCCTGCCCTGGGCAGGGACCCCTCCCACCAGCCCAGGCTGCTCCAAGCCCCGTCCAACCTGGCCTTGGGCACTGCCAGGGAGGGGCTGCCACAGCTGCTCTGGGCAACCTGGGCCAGGGGAGACCTTGTCTCTCTCTACAGCTACTGAAAGGAGGTTGTAGCAAGGCAGGGGTTGGTCTGTTCTCCCCAGTGGCGAGTGACAGGATGAAGGGAAATGGCCTCAAGTTGCACCAGGGGAGGTTCAGGTTGGATATTAGGAAGAATTTCTTTACTGAGAGGGTTGCCAGGCCCTGGAACAGGCTGCCCAGGGAGGGAGTTGAGTCACATCCCTGGAGGTGTGTACGAGAAGGGCAGATGTTGCCTTGAAGGACATGAGTTAGTGGTGTTGGTAGGGCTGGGACAAAGGTTGGACTCAATGATCTTGAAATTCTCTTCCAGCCAAAACTCTTCTATGATTCTTGATTCTGTGATTCTAGCCCTGCACTCCCTGCCCAAGAGCCCCTTCTCATCTCTCCTGTGTGCCCCTTTAAGCCCGAGGAGGCCGCTCTAAGATCTCCCTGGAGCTTTCTTCAGCCTGAACAGCCCCAACTCTCTCAGCCCGTCCTCACAAGGAGCTGCTCCAGCCCCTGAGCACCTTCGTGGCCTCCTCTGGACCTGCTCCAACAGGTCCATGTCTTTGATGCCGAGTATTTTGGACTGGCGAACGCTTGCAGAGCTCGCTGGTGGGATCCACGATGATGGTGTCATCATGACAGAAGAAGCCCAGCAAATTCTAGGAGATCAAAGCTTTACTCTTTCTTTTTGTCTCTAATGCTTCCTTGATCCTTTCCAGACCATCCCTGCTTTTTCACAGGGCGTATTTTAAAAATCTGAGAGGTTGGAGTGGGTAAAACATGAGGAGGGCTGACAAAAAAAATCAGTTTACTTAGGACTGTTTCTGAAAACAATAACTGGCTTAGGTTCTTAAGAAATTCTGGTTCTCTTCCGACCTCGGCCGTTTGTCTTCTCTATCTGCTGCAGGGAATTTTTTTTCTCAAAGCGAACTCTTTTTGCAAAGTTCCTGGTACGGAAAAGAGATGTCTTGCAACAAAAAAAGAGCTACGTGTATTCAGAGTCATGCCTCTGAACACCATGGGTTTCCTCTCAACCCTGCTCGTTTTGGTTCATCTCGTTTACACCTGAATTAGTTCTGACACCCTGAGGTTTCTCTCAAGTTGCTCGTCATCCCGCTCAACAGAAGGGCTCAAAAAAATTTAGCACAAGCCTGACAAAATGAGTTTTTTTCTTCCAGTTCTTGTAATTAAGCTAAGCCAGGGTGGACACATTTCTGCACAGGAACATCTCTTCCATACGAGGGGGATGGATTTATTATTGGGGTTAATATTGGGACGGATTAATGACCATGGCCATGAAAAACCGAGCTTGATAATGAGTTCAGAAAATCTTTGATAAAATATTTTGGGGACTTCTATTTTTTTTTTCAAATATTCACCTTTTTGGCTTTCTTGGTTGAGGTAGAGATTGGGATGGACCTTGTTTAGATCTCACTAAGCCTGCCAGAGTCTTTTGAAATGTTTCTTTGGCTCCCACTAAACCCCACAGCAAAACAGTCGCTGATCTCGGTGCGAATGGTATCGGAGCCTAAATAGCGGTGGAATTGCTTTTCCTGTCATTGGTAACTCAGTTTTGTTTGGTTTCAGCGTTGTCCGGCACTAAACGTTGTCAAAAGATACTCTTCCACCCTTCAGGAAACGTTGTCCTGACCGTGCTTTAGTTTAGCCGCACCCACCAGTAGCGAGATTTATTTCTGAGAAAGATCACCCAGGAAGACTTCTGGCGTTTGCAGGGAGCGTATATTCATTTTTTTTATGTCCTTCTGCTGATTTCCAGCGCTCGGCTGAATTGCCTAGGAGAAGGATCCCCGTTCCACGAATCCTAACCCAAAATCTGCGGCTGTAGCGTGTGTCGTAATGCGAGCAGTGCTTCATTTCTCAGAGAGAAAAGAGACAAGCCCTAAATTCTTGCTTGTCTAATTTGTGTCCCATCAACGCTGCACCCACTGGTAGCTGCTGTGTTCCCAGTCAGCGTCCGCAGCCGCGCAGACGATGCTGCTGAGAATAATAGGAAGCATTTGTCATTAATAATAGTTTCCTCCTTTTTTCTTTTTTTGGCTGCAAACAGGCTTGTAACCTCGCTGCTTTCCGCCCCGTCGGTAGCGCGGGTCACTAAGCGGCATCTCTTCCCTAAGATGTTAAGTGAAACGGGTGACATTTAATAGGAGGTCGCGGAGCCTGATGCCTTTAAATTCCGATTGTTTGGTGAGGCAAAGCCGGGAGCACTCAGACATTCAAGAGCGGGTGACGCCAACGCTGGGGGTGATGCTCCCCCCAGCCCCAACGTGGGGTGCCGGCGATGGAGACGGCTGGCGGGGCTGTAACCTCCCTATCCATTACTGTCAGCCCCC